AATATATATATATATATATATATATATATATATAAAATAAATTTCTGTCTAACGGGGTTCAGATTAACCTCTTGTACTAAGATGGCTCCGCCCGCGTGAGCGATACAAGGCTAAAAGCCGAGTAAGCCTTACAAGGCTCACTGTGATTTGAGCCTCATTTTAGAAAACTCAATTTTTAAACGGCGTTACAAATTATTGCATTTTTTATTTTATAATCATCGAGTTGCCCTTTGAAATTTTCAAAATATATAGTCTTTTAATTCCGACTCAAAGTTATATTGTAGAAAGACATTCACGTGGTCCAATTTAAATACTTACAGCCCAAAATTGGACCACCTAATATGTAGAAATGTATATTAATGTCCCGGGACCGCATGGGATTATTCCACCAGTAAAAGAATGCCAACTAAGTAGGAATTTTTAATCAAACTAAGTTCTTACGTAAAATAATTTTTTAAAGTAATATATTTTTTTAAAATTTTACAAAATTGGTATAAACGTATTTCATGATAACGTTTTAGGGTATATTTTATTTTAAAAAAACTAACAACATTTGGTTGATATACGTTATTGTAAGCAACGTTTTATTTTTAAAACGTTATTTTCAGAAACGTTTTACTCCTAAAACGTTACTGTGAGTAATGTTTTAGGAGTAAAATGTTACTGTAAGTAACGTATATCAATCTGATGTCATCAACTTTTAAAAAATAAAATATATCCTAAAACGTTACTATGGAATACATTTATACTAGTTTTATAAAATTTTAAAAAAACATATTATTTTGGTGAATTACTTTATATAATGACTTAGTTTGGTTGAAACCTCACTAATTACCGTCACAAATTTGTTGTCATGCAAGTACATCAATTGCTACTACCACTTTTTATTTTGGTAGGTGCAAATCGAGAATGGTTCTTAAATAATGGTAAATCATTTACTTATTTATTTTGAAAAATTAATGATTGGTGATGGCGATTTGTTTAATATACATGATTAATTAGAATACTAGAAAATGAAGAGCGTTGGTTTGGTAATTTCATTTGTGGTTGCATTTTGGTGTTCATGCACTAATGCTACAACAATTCCTAATCAAGTGGTGCGTGACAGTGATGGAAACATTCTCATATAGTAACAAAATAAAATTATACCTATCTTAATTTTCTTTTTGTTCTTTCGATCTACATTAGGTAAAACGGTAGATGAATAATGTTGTTGAATGCCTTGAATTGGGCCCTTAATTATCTGTCAATTATGTATTTTGGATCCAAGCCTGTTAGGGCGTAGCTTAGCACTATATATAGACGTTATGGCAAACCCTATTCTGTAATTCTGTTTTTTGCCTCTCCATAATAAAACTGCTCCCCCTCTTCCCGTGGACATAGCCAATTTATTGGTGAACCACGTAAATCTGTTGTCTTGTTTTTCGAATTTATATTTTCTCGTATTATATCAAATTCCGCACAACAAATTGGTATCAGAGCCTCTCGGTTAATCGGTGTTCTTGGAAATTTGAGATGTCTGCTTTGAACGTGAAATCGACAAATTCACAGGGAGGAATAGTTTCAGTTTATGGCAGATCAAGATGCGGGCTTTGTTGAAACAGCAAGGCTTCTGGGCGCCATTGTTGAAAGACAAGAATGTCGTCGTTACTTCTGAGATGACGATTCTAGAGGAAAAGGCGCGCTCGACGATCATGCTGTGTCTCGC